TAAAAAATAAGAATCCTAGGACAAATGTGTATCAGTATAGAGAAAAACTAATTTGGATCATTGTAAGCTCTGATAGATCAAATAATCAATTAGGGAAGAAAACTGAGTAGTATATTTATGCCCAGATGGAGAATAGATGATTTTCTACAAAAGAAGTGAAAGTTGTCCTAAGAGGCAATATAGATACACCTGAATATATACAAATAAAAGCCTTTTGCATCAAATTTAGCAAATTGCAGGATACAAGATCAACACACAAAAATTAGTCATATTTCTGTGCACTAGCAATAAACAATCTGAAAAGAAAATTAGGAAAACAATTTGTTTTATAACAACATCAAAAGAATAAAATGCTTAGGAATAAATTTAACCAAGTTGGCACAAAACTTGTACACTGAAAACTACAAAACATAGCTGAAAGAAATTAAGGACAACCTAAATAAACAGAAAGACACCCTGTATTCATGGATTGGAAGACTTAATATTAAGATGGTGATACTCCCCAAAGCGATCTACAGATTCAGTGCAATTCCTATTAAACTTCCAATTGCCATTTTAGTAGAAATAAAAAAGCAGATCCTAAAATTCACATAGAATTTTAAGGAATCATGAATAGCTAAAATAATCTTATAAAGACGAACAATGTTAGAGGACTCACACTTGCCAATTTCACAACTTACTTCAAAGTTAATAATGAAAACAGTGTGATACCTGCATAAGGACAGACATATAGACCAAAGGAACAGATAATCCAGAAATAAACCCATACATTTGCAGTCAACTGATTTTTTTTTCCTTTTTGTCTTTTTTCGTGACCGGCAACGGATCGCAACCCTCACTGTCGCGCCCGTACCGGACCGGCAACGGGATCGCAACCCTCGGTGTTGCGCCCGCACCTCGCTCAGCCAGTGAGCGGCCGGTCTGTATGTGGGATCCGAACCCTCGGCAGGAGTGCTGCCGTGCTCCCAAGCGGCGCACTGTAGCAGTGTGCCACCGGGCCGGCCCGAAGTCAACTGATTTTTAACAAGGATGCCAAGATCATTCAATGGGGAAAGAAGAGTCTTTTCAACAAACAGTGCTGGGACAACTGGAATCCACATACAAAAAGGAGAAGTTAGACCTTTATCTCACACCATATACAAAAATTAACTTAAAATGGATCAAAGACATAAATATAAAAGCTAAACCTATAAAACTCTCAGAAGAAAACTAAGGGGGAAATCTTTTATGACTGTAATTTTGGCAATGGCTTCTTAGATATGACACCAAAAGCATGAGCAACAAAAGAAAAAATTGATAACTTTTGTACATCAAAGGACACTATCAAGAGCATGAAAAGACAAACCATAAAATGAACTAGAATATTTGCAAATTATATATCTGATGAGGGACTCATACTCAAAATAAAGAACTCTTACAACTCAACAACAAAGACAAATAACCCAATTAAAAGATGGCCAAAGGACTTGAATGGACGTTTCTCCAAAGAGGATATACAAATGGCCAACAAGTACATGAAAAGATGGTCAATGTCATCAGTCATTAGGGAAATGCAAATTAAAACCACAAGAAATACCACTTTACCTCCACTAGGATGGCAATGTTTAAAAGAAAGGACAGAAGGGAGGGAGGAAGGGAAAGAGAGGAAGAGAGAAAGAAAGGAAAATAAGTATTAGTGAGGATGTGAAGAAACTAGAACTCTTGTTCATTGGTGGTGGGAATACCAAATGGTGCAGATGTTGTGGAAAATAGTTTGGCAGCTCCTCAAAAAGCTAACCATAGAATTATCATATGACTTAGCAATTCCACATCTAAATACATACCCAAAAGAACTGAAAACAGGTGTTCAACAAAAACTCATAAATCAATTTTCATACCAGCACTATTCACAATAGCGAAAAAAGTGGAAGCAACCCAAATGTCCATCATTGGAGGAATGGATAAATAAAATGTATCCATACAAGTGAATATTATCCAGCCATAAAAAGAAATAAAGTACTGATACATGCTGCCCCATGGCTAAACCTTAAAAGCATAATGCTAAGTAAAAGCAGTCAGACACAAATAGCCATATATTGTATCACTTCCTATACATGAAATTCCAGAAAAGGTGAATCCAGAGAGACAGAAAGCAGATTAGTAGTGTTCAGGGGCTGCAGGTAGGAAAGAACAGGGAGTGGTTGCTTAATAGGTACAGGATTTTCTTTCATGGTGATGAAAATATTCTGAAACTATAGTGGTGGTGATGGTTGCACAATATTGTGAATGCCCTAAGTACCACTGAATTGTACACTTTGGTGAATTTTATGTGTATTTTATCACAACAAAAAATTATTTCTAATTAAAAAAACCTTTTGCATGATAAAACATTAAGTCTCACATCAAGAAAAGCAATAGAAGAGGAAAACTATGATAAAAGTAATTTATAAAAGGTTAGTATCTGAATAATTTATAAAGATTTCATATAAATATATAGGACCAACTACAAAGTTTTCAGGCTAAGTGGTTAAAACTGATGCACAGATTATATACCAAGAAATAATTACAGTAAAACTCCTCACAAAGAAATAGGCCACCAGAAAGTAAATGCTTATTAAAACATCTTTAAGGAACCATTATACTGTAAACACCTTATAAAAGAGATAAAAATCAATGTGGCCAAACCACAGGGAAACAGATAAACTTAATGTCTCCAGTGACACTGTAAAGGTGTTCTAGAGAACAACCTGACAATATGAAATAGGAGCTATAAAGCTAGTCAAGAGCTTTGACCCAGGAATTTCATTCCAAAGACTATACTTTTTGTTTTTTTTCCTTTTTTTTGTCTTTCTTCGTGTCCGGCAACGGATCGCAACCCTCAGTGTCGCACCCGTACCGGACCGGGACCGGCAACGGGATCGCAACCCTCGGTGTTGCTCCCACACCTCGCTCAGCCAGTGAGCGGGAACCGGTCTGTATGTGGGATCCGAACCCTCGGCGGGAGCACCACTGCACTCCCAAGCGGCGCACTGTAGCAGTGCGTCACCGGGTTTTGGATTCCAAAAATCACAGCTACTTGTGGAAGACTTTAACTGAAAGCAGATCTTCCTCTTGAGATCTTAGTTTGTTTTGAAGATTAATATTAATAAATCTGACATTGCTCAATAAAAATCAAAAACAAGGGGAAGATTTATTTATTTATTTATTTATTTATTTATTTATTTATTTTTTTGTCTTTTTCCGTGTCCGGCAACGGATCGCAACCCTCAGTGTTGCCCCCGTACCGGACCGGGGACCGGCAACGGGATTGCAACCCTCGGCGTTGCTCCCGCGCCTCACTCAGCCAGTGAGCGGGAACCGGTCTGTATGTGGGATCCGAACCCTCAGGCGGGAGCGCCGCCGCGCTTCCCAAGCGGCGCACTATCCAGTGCGCCACCGGGCTGGCCCGAAATAGGAAATTATTTGGAAAAAAAAAAAGATAGCAATAGTCGTGACAACTAAAATGAGAAAATATGAAATAACCTAAATAATAAGAGAATAGGCCTAAGTAAACTATTATCATTGCCTAAGCACAATGAAATATATGTATATATGTGCATGTGTATATGTATATATACACAAGGTATATTTAAAATGACAAGTATATAACTATTTGATAGACAGAAAGGTATGTAAGAAATAATGTCAATTAAAGTAAATCACAAAATCGTACATGCATTGATTCCAACTCAATATATACACATTAATGATACACGGAAAATAATTTGGGGTGTTTAAAATGCAATAGGCGCTTTTCAAAATAAGTTGTAGAGGGTAATAATTTCCCAGCAATTATTTCCTATCACAATCCTTTCCTAAAGATTCGTTAAAAAATATATATATACAGGTAAGTCAACAATAAAATAAATTTTATAGGATGCATGTAAGTTTAGAAGAAAATCTGAAATGATTGAATTAACATATTTTATTTGTTATGCTCTTATTATAAACTTCTTGTTGAGATAAAAATTTTCAGGCCAATGTTACAACAGGACTTTAAGGAAATTTTTTTCACTATATGTAAAATATTAGCCACATTCTTATAAATAAAAATGTTTTTCATATAATACTTTAACATACACAGATATGCTTTAAAATATCAAGGAAGGAAAGTCAATTAACTGTATGTAAACTATATATTCATATATATGTAGAAATGTGAATAACTGTTATAAGACCAACAAAAATACCTCAAATAAATTTACAAAAATAACACCATCCAGGTATCAGTGTACAAGCAACCTGTGTACAAATAACTGCCTAAACACTGCTCTTAACAGTTGCTGCCATAGAAGCCATCAGAAAAACCATAGACAAACTGGAGCTTAAAGACATTCTATTTAGAGTTGAAGGCAGGAAGAAGCCATGAAAAGCAGAAGCATAGGTTAGGGGAACTGATCTAAAGGATACTCTCCTGCTCCTTTCCTAACACCTAAGGAGGCAAACTGCAATTGGAGGGAATGGAGGAGGAAGCAATATTGAGTATTCTTCTATCACAGTCTCCCCAGGGTGTATGTTTCTCTCAAAATGCTCCATTTTTCAAAACTATTTATCCTGTCTCCCTCCTAATCAAACTTTTCATTCATTAGCCTAACAAAATATATATTTTCTCATTTCTCCAAAGAAGTTTATATTCATGAGAATAGCATTTTTTTAAAAAAATAAACTCACCTGAATTTTATTATTTAACAGGGAGAAGATGAGAAGCTTTTTAAACTGTTCTTTAAAATAGTCTCATCCATTTAAAACTGCTTTCCCCGTACTGGCCAGATGCCAAAAAACAAAAACAAAAACAAAAACAAAAAAACCCCTGCTTTTCTTTTAAATTTTAACACTATCACACTTTCTCTTTACATCAATAGAACTTTACTACACATTCATTAGTTAGAGATTATAATAATGAAGACATTAATTCAGGCTTGTAAATAAACATTATATTTAAAGAAATCTTTTTAGCATAATATTCATCAACTGATTCTTACTTTGCTTCAATTTATGGAAATCACCAACTCTATCCTTGGTAGCATGCTTTAGTATATCTGTTTGAATTCTGGGTTCACTCTCCAAGTTTGGGCCTGGAATTAAATGCTGAAGAGGATCAGATGGGTTCTGTTTTGAAGTACCAGGGTTTCCATTGTGGTTTATGTGTGAATCTGTGACATAAAAACATCAAATTAAAAGACTAATTCTTTCACAGAAGAATTTCACAAGATCTGCTTTAGACACACTGTTGTCTGACACTGGTCAGTCACATGGACTTTTTTTTAAAGCTTTATTCTAATTTCTTTAATCAAATCTTGTAATCAATGTGATTTTAGCTGTGTGAAGTTTCCTAATCATTCCCAGATGTGCATCTCCACTACTGATTATAAACCTGTGCACCAAAGGCATATACAGTAGAAACCCAAAGATTAACATAGCAACAAAACCTGTATCATTTCCTCCCTCCAAATTCCATAGTGCTGTCAGAAATCTCCAAAACCCAGAACGGCTTTTGAAATTTCTAATCTCTTAAACATGTTCATCTATACAATGATTCCCAACTGTTGACGCTTGATTCTTTTTTAGAAGTATTTCCTGGACGTAACCTCACTTCCCCTCACCCTCTTTTTCTCCTCATCATGTCTTGATTTAGATCCTTATTACAAACAATTTGGATTCAGAAACCCACCATGTCACTCTTACTCTTACATCTTTCCTTTCCATCACCCCCTTTAAGCAGCTCCTTTCAATCATATTGATTCTCATTTTAGGAGAACATTTCTGTAAAATCGAATTAAGTGTTCAGTAGAAAATAAATATATTTATAAGTATGAAGTAAAGAGCTTAATATAGGTGTGTATAGTAAATAACAGAAGGCCTCTGTGAGATAAATCTGAACACATTTTGAAGAAGATAAATCTACACAGCCTGGCAGAGATGAAAGGGAATGTAGTCTACAGTAGCAAAACAAATAATTCTTCTGTTCTTAAGAAAGAGACCATAACAATCCATTAAACAAAGTGCAGTTTTAGATGATTATTTCTCCCTGAGCTTTTTTACCAGTCATTTAAAAATATATAACATTAACTCAAAGAATGAATGCTACTTCACTATCCTGCTAAATGACATGTTTTATTTACTCTACAGCAATACATGGCCAGTAAATTGCTTTTCAAATGGAATTTTAAGAATAAAATTTCATACCTGGAACCATATTTGGGGAGAGAGGTCGTCCAGTTGAAAGATGGGAGATTGCTTGATGACTTTCATGATTAGAAATTGACATAGGGGGCTTCTTTAAAGCTACAAGAAAAAAATACATCCATTATTATTTCTATTGATATTATGATTTCTAAAAACTAACCACCATGACTCTATTTACATTGCACTAATCCTATGATGCTTACTCTAACTTTGTAATCCTTATAGTTGATATATTAACTAATTCATTTATGATTACTAATTGATACACTGTACCTTTCATTCTTAAGCTGCCCAGGGATACAGTGGAGTCAGTGGTAGTGAGTGAAAAATCATTTCTTTCCCTGTTGCCTCCATTTCTTAAGAGTCTCAACTATAAGTATGTACAATCCACCCTAAACAATTATAAATATGGATGCTGTGGATTGATTGAACTGTGTCCCATAAAGTTCATATATTAGAAACTTAATTCCTACTGTAACTGTTGAGATTGGGAAGTCCTATTACGGTTATTGAAAGGTAGGGCCATGAAGAGGTGATTGGATTGTAGGACCATGACACAGTAAATGGTGGTCAGAGGCATGGTTCAGAGGGCTTTAAAAGGAGAGTACATGAAGAATCTCTCTCTCTCTCTGCTCCACAATTTTCTGCCACTGCTCTTTCTGCTCTCTCCCTCTCTGCTGCCACCATTCTCTGCAGTGGTGTCACAGGCATTGTGAGACCACTGCATTGCTGTAAAGCCACCACCAAGAACACCCTCTCCAGATGAGTTCCCTGGACTTTGGACTTCCCAGCCTCTGAAACTGTAAGCAATAAATTGTTTTCTTACAAATTACCCAGTTCCAGGCATTTTCTTATAAGCTACAGAAACAGACTAATTCAATGGACAAAATATATAAGGAAACTGTTTGCAAGCACTGGACAACCATCAGCACAAGACTATATCCTGGAAAGAAGGGATATACACGAATGTGCAGTCTTGGTGAGCCGAAGAGGCAGAGATCATCAGTTTGGGCTGCTGAAGCAGATAGAATTTGTAGGACAGAATATTACCCAGGAAGAAGCTCTGTGGTGTGAAACGGAGGGTTCACAGAAATCTGCATGGGGATTTCCCCATGGATCTTTGGCCAAGGCCCAGGCTGTGCATGTAAAGGGTGAGACTCCATGGGGCCTAACAGACAGCACCTGCTGCAGGGCTGAGAGCTGAACAGAAATAACAGAGGTCACGCAGCACTGGAGACAATGGAACTCTGCCCAACCAGCCATAGTAAAAAATCTTCACTAAGCATCTTGGGTATCAAATGAGATGTTATAAGCCTATACTTTAAGAGTAGGGACCACATTCTTGAGTTTAAGGGCCATACCCTAAGACTAAGAACAAAATTTTTTGTTTTTCTTTTCTTTTTTGGCAGCTGGCCAGTATGGGATAAGAACAAAATTAAAACTAACAAAGCATAAAACCAAAGTGTAAACAAACCTGACAGAATCAAGAGAATCCTCCAGTAATTTAACTGTCTGCCAGAACAAAATTCAGCATCCTTTAAAAGAAGACAACAAAATCTAACCTCCTTTATGTATCATTCATATAGCATACAATAAAATTACTAGACATACAAAGAAGTAGTGAATATGACCAATAATCAAGAAAAAAAGCAATCAACAGGAACTCAGACAAGAGCCACTTGTTCAAATTAGCACACAAGGACTTAAAAAATAAACTGTTCTATATGTGCATATATGTCCAAGGATTTAAAAGAAAAGATGGAAACAACTAGTAGAGAAATGAAAACTAAAAAAAAGAATGAAATGGAAATTCTAGAACTGAAAATACAATATCTAAAATAAAGAATACACTACATGGGCTTAATAGCAAACTAAACATTGCAATAAAAGTCAATGAACTTGAAGACAGATCAAAGATATTAAACAAACTGGGAGAGACAAAGTATTAAAAAAAACTAAACAGAACTTCATTGACCTGTGGGATAATATTAAACAGTCTAAATGCATGTAACTTGAGTCCTGGAAGGAGGAGAAAAAATAATAGGATAGTTAAAGAAAAAATACAGACTAATAGAAGAGAACACAAAAAAAGGCATCATCTTATCAGAAACAATGGAGGCCAGAAGACAATGGAACTGTGTCTTTAATGTGCTGGAAGAAAAAAATCCATCAATCCAGACTTCTATATTCAGCAAAAATATCCTTCACAAATGAGGATGAAATAGATATTTTCAAATAAATAAAAGTTGAAAAAAATTGTTGCTAGAAAATCTGTACTACAGAAATGCTAAAGGAAATTCTTCAGACTGAAGGATATTGATAATATAGAAATTTGAATCCACAGAAAGGATTCAAATTTGTTTCACATAATTTGTTTCTCCCACAGGAGGGATCTGAAAACTTTTTATCAAAGGAGCAGATAGTGAATATTTTAGGCTTGTGGGCCATACTCAACTCTGCTGTTCTAGCACAAAAGCAGCAATAGGCAATATATAAAAAAATGAGCATGGCTATAGTTCAATAATGTTTTATGTATTAAAACAGACAACCAAGCTGTAAGTTGTCAGCCCCTGTTTTATAAGATGTCTAAGAAGAAATTTTATGTATATCAAGACTAACTTAATTTGTTAAAAATTTTAACTGTATTTTTATAAATTTAGACATTTTATTCTCTCTCTCTTTTTTTTTTTTTTGTCCTTTTTGAGACCGGCCACACCGCGCTCAGCCAGTGAGCGCTGTGAGCACACCAGTCATCCCTATATAGGATCTGAACCCGTGGCGGGAGCGCTGCTGCGCTCCCAGCGCCGCACTCTCCTGAGTGTCCCTATATAGGATCTGAACCCGTGGCGGGAGCGCTGCTGCGCTCCCAGCGCCGCACTCTCCTGAGTGTCCCTATATAGGATCTGAACCCGTGGCGGGAGCGCTGCTGCGCTCCCAGCGCCGCACTCTCCTGAGTGCGCCACGGGCTCAGCCCTAGACATTTTATTCTCTAAGAGTGGTGACTTAAAAAGAATCTCTATCAAAAAAAAAATCTACACTGCTTTTTTAAAACAGAATCTTACAATTTTTCTCTTAAATATCAATGTTAATTACCTTTCTTTAAATTTTTTTAGACTTAATTTTTTTAGAGCAATTTTAAGTTCACAAAAAAATTGAGAGGAAGGTAGAGAGATATCCCATATATCTCCTGCCCCAAACATGGACAGCCTTCCCCATTACCAACATCCCACACCAGAGTGGTATATTTGTTATAGTCGATGAACCTATGCTGATACATCATAATCACATAAAGTACATAGCACTGACACATCATAATGACCCAATGCCCACAGTTTACATTAGGGTTCATTCTTGGTGGTGTACATTCTATGGGTTTCGGTAAATGTATAAGGACACATATCCACCATCATAGTGTCATAAAAAGTATTTTCACTGCCGTAAAATTCCTCTGTGCTCCATCTGTTCATCCCTCCCTTCTCACATCCTACCCCCTGGCAACCACTAATCTTTTTACTGTCTTTTAGTGTCCCCATAGTTTTGCCTTTTCTAGAATGTCTGTAGTTGGAATTATACAGTATGTAGCCTTTTCAGATTGCCTTTTTTCACTTCGTAATATGCATTTAAGGTTCCTCCAAATCTTTTTATATCTTGATATCTCATTTCCTTTTAGTGCTAAATAATATCCCATTGTCTGGATGTATCACAGTTTATCTAGTCACCTACTGAAGGGCATCTTGGTTGCTTCCAAGTTTTGGCAATTATGCATAAAGCTGCTCTAAACATTCATGTGCAGGTTATTCATGTGTAGGCGTAAGTTTTCAACTCATTTGGGTAAATACCAGGGAGCACGATTGGTGGATCATAAAGTAAGAATATGTTTAGTTTTGTAAGAAACTGCCAAACAATCTTCCTAAGTGGCAGTACCATTTTCCATTCTCATCAGCAGTGAATGAGGGTTCCTGTTGCTCCACATCCTCATCAGCATTTGGTACTTTCAGTGTTCTGGATTTTGGCCATTTTAATAGCTGTATAGTGGCCTCTGTCGTTTTAATTTGCATTTCCCTGATGATACATGATGTGGGGTATCTTTTCATATGTTTATTTGCCATCTGTATTACTTCTTTGGTGAGGTGTCTGTTCAGGTCTTTGGCCCATTTTTTAATCAGATTGTTTGTTTTCTTATTGTGAGTTTTAAGAATTTTGTATATTTTGGGTAGTAGTCCTTTATCAGATACATCTTTTGCAGATATTTTCTTCTAGTCTGTAACTTGTTTTCTCATTCTCTTGACATTGTCACTTGCAGAAGTTTTTAAATCTTAATGAAGCCCAGCTTATAAATTATATCCTTCATGGATCATGACTGCTGTTTTATCTGAAAAGTCATTGCCATACCCAATGTCATCTAGATTTTCTCCTGTTATGTTCCAGTTTTACACTTCTGCATTTCACATTTAGGTCTGTGGTCCATTTTGAATTCATTTTTGTCAAGGATGGAAGGTCTGTATCTAGATTCCATTTTTTGCATGTGGATGTCTAGTTGTTCTACTACCATTTGTTGAAAAGACTACCTTCGCTCCATTGTATTGCCTTTGCTCCTCTATCAAAGTTCAGCTGACTGTATTTATGTGGGTCCATCTCTGGGCTCTCTGTTCTGTTCCATTGGTCTATTTGTTTATTCTTTCACCAATATCACACTGTCTTGATAATTGTAGGTTTATATTAAGTCTTGAGGTTGAGTGGTGTCAGTCCTCCAAGTTTGTTTTACTGCTTCAATATTGTGTTGGCTATTCTGGGTCTTTTGCCTCTCCATTTAAACTTCAGAATCACTTTGTCAATATGCACAAGATAAATTGCTGGGATTTTCATTGAGATTGCACTGAATCTATAAATCACATTGGAAAGAACTGATCTTGACAATATTGAGTCTTCCTATCCATGAACCTGGAATACCTCTCAATTTATTCAGTTCTTCTTTGATTTCTTTCATCAGACTTTTGTAGTTTTCCTCATATAAATCTTGCACATGTTTTGCTAAATTTATACCAAAGTACTTCAATTTGGGGGGTGCTAATGTAGGTTGTATTGTGTTTTTTTTTTTT